GACTAGCTCAAATGACAGGCCCTCAAAGGCCAGATAGCACCATACAGACGTGCACCACTTCGCTCACATCTACCCCAGCTTGCGACTCCGCTTTTCATCGCTTAAACACGTGTATGCACTTTAGGCCGAACTAGCAACCGGTATGGGGGAAGCGTTTGCCGACGGGTGGAGCAAGTACATGAACCTGTTTCTTTTATGTCTCACCCATCAACTGGCCCGCATTACAGCCACGAAAGAGGCAGTCTGCACAGTGTGCCATTGTTCATCCACTCCACACACCTCAGACGCTATATTCACACTCAAGACAGTCAGCCAGCGGTTTGTTGTTGAAAGAAAATTTGCCGATTTTCTCTATGTCTTCAGCAAGCCGGCAGCTTATCGCCAATACAAGGCATCACAATGAATGCAAGTGCTGACTCCACCGATAAAGCCAGTCTTGTATCCACACTCCTTAACTGGGCCACATCAAAACTTGACTGGCCAAATTAAGTCTCATTTCCAAGTTATTGCATCTCTTTCAACTTTGCACGTCAGAAGCGTCAAATCAGTAGTGCTTGTGCAAGTAAAGTGATCATTAAAACATCGAATGAACATTGAATTCCACTACATTTATTTTCAATAGGTAGATGTACTACTTATTTGATATTAGTAGCAAGGAATAAACGCCTTTATTACCTGGCCATCTCTACAGTGTTTTACGATGATTGAAAGTTGGAACTTAGCAAGACGACCACCAGTGATTACGCCAACCTTGTGTCCATTGTGAAGAAATTTCTGAAATGGCATGGTCCTGATGATTATCATTTAGATGGAAAATTGCGATCTTGCCAGAAGACGACTCATTTTACTCTAAATACATTTGCCTCTAATGCAAAGTCCAGAGTTGCGCAATTTACGATACATACAAAAAAGAGTGATTTTATAGGTTGTATAAGCATCACTTCCATTCACCCAACGCGGTAAAAGATGATGAAGGACTAAAAGCTGAAATTTCCCGAAATCCCATAAGCAGGCCTTACGTTTGCTTCCTTACCTTATGCTGGCCAGGATGAATGGAACTCTTATTCAAGATGTACTGATCGTTTCGAATCCTACTCTAAATGAATATAAGTAACGCAATTAAGTAAGACCTCTATAAACATGATATAGGAGAGGTCTGGACTTCCTGAAAGTTCAACCAAGAGCATTTGTGGCAGGGTGCAGTCAAGCTTATCCACTGTACTATCCGGATTCGAGTCTTGTCGATGAGACCTTGATAGTCCACAGTTAAGAAGAATATCTTTTGTGTGAAATTCAATTGAAAAGTGAAGCCTATTCATATGATTGTGGATACAATTTGACTATACGGCCTATTGTTGAGCTTACTTCCATTTCAAGTGAAAGTGTTGGGTGAAGAGATTCGAAGGTCTGTTTCACCAGAAGACGACGGTGGAACCGACTTTCGAATCTCTTCACCCAACATTTTCACTCGAAGTGGAAGTAAGCTCAACAATTATGAAACAAGATATTCCTCGAAACTCAACTTTTCTTCGCATATACGTCCTATATCATCTTATGCCACCGAACGTGAATGGAATTCTCAGTCAAGATTTACTGTCAGTTTCGAAAGCTACTCAAAAACAATTTAGATTAATAGCTCTCCACGTGGATTTCCGAAATGAGTGCGTTTTGAAACTACCATTAGTTTCTGAATACAAACCTAGTCGATCCAGGTCGTTTAAGGTGTTTTACATTGAAAAGATTCAACAACTTGGTCATATTAGCAAATTCGTAGTTGTCAGTAAACTCCACGATGTCGCTTGTGGCAAAATGAGCAGTACTCAAAATTATCAAATAATCTTGCCTTCAAATAGTTCTTGCTTGACACGTACGATAGGGAAGCTAACGAAAGCCAGAAGAGTTCGAATCTGTAGTCCAAACCGGACTAGGGTGTATTTCGGGGGGTAATCGCATCGTGAGGCTTTCTAATGATTTTCACGTGGAAAACAAAAATATCGTTGCTTCTACCAGCACAGGAAATAAAAGGGCAAACCGACTTTTAACAAATTAGTAAAACAATAGTCTCGAGCCTGGTCATTCCGAACATGGTTTACAGCCCACCCTCAGAGCTTCTGGTGCTTTATTAGGGATATGAAAATTTAACAGACCAGCGACAACCTTTGGTTAAAGAATACGAATTTTAACTGTTTTATAGATGAAATTTTCAAGTTTCTCCAAAATAAGCCAAAGGGAATGTTTGAATACTTCAGTGGAATTCACTTGCATGCATCATAAGATTCCTTTAGCTCCAACTTGTGGTGAAGTTTTTCCCTTGTCTCGGTCTCACCAACACCCTTTGTTCGGCTCTTCAAGTCATGCCTGTCGTTTGCACCAATTCAGCTAGGATCATTTAGCCTAAGCGGTAAAGTATTTACCTCACAAACCCCTCGTTCTCTCTTCGGCTTATTCACTGTATGTTGATGATGCAATGATGCAACGAAAGCAGGATATGTGGCATAATTTAATTAAATCATTCGCTTTGAATAATAAGTCAGTCTAAAGCACTCAGCCTCATGAAGGCCAATTTTACGAGCGAATAGACAATACTACTTGAAATATTTGCAAGTAGCTGTACCTATTTACACAAGATTGAATTCTCAAAAAGGATTTTTCTTTCTCACTGTGTAGCTTTAGTAGCTTTAGTAGCCTTAAATTTACTGGCTATCTGTTACGCTGATTAAAATAATGCTCTAGTGGCCAATCAGGAGACTGACAAATTACACCAAAAGTTGAAAGTAGTCTACAGAATAACGGAGCTGTGGCTAAAGTTTACACCATTCAAGTAAAAAAAGCATAAGGCAAGTAAGTGATAATCAAAGGTATGAAGACAAAGATGGTGTGGCCTTTTGTGTGGTCGCAGTCATTTTTCGTGGCATAGAAGTTGTTTGACCTTGCTTTCGTAGCTTGGTCATATTGGTAGGAAGACTTAGAGGACCGCACCTAGTCCGGAGTCCATTGAATGCATCATCATTTCCAAGGTAGGACCGGGGACGTGAAACGTCTGGGAATGGACCACGTCCACGGTCCTACTCTGGAACTGATCATGCATACAATTGACTCCGAACTAGGTGCGTTCCCCTAAGTCTTCCTTCTAATATGACCAAGTTGCGAAAAAAATAAGTATTGTTATCGATTACTACAGCAAATAGAACTTTGCTTAACCTACAATCCCAATAGAGAATTAGATGTGCACAAAGTTATGGTCTTCCTTGATATTCGTATATGTCCTGCGTGTCAAAATTATTCGCTACACTATCACTGTTCGAATCCCACTTGGGTGCTGATGAGACTAGTTCAGGCGAGGTAAAGACTTCCATCCATATCCCGCTTGGATAAAAATAGCTTTTGAGAAGCAGAGCTATGTGAAATTCAATGAAAGCTTAAGGTCTACTCATATGATTTTGAGAAAATGCAACCACCAGTCTTTCATTACCTGGACGAATC